TTTCCTGCCATTGTGCCGCCCTTCCTGGGCAGTTTCTGGAAGGCAGCTGCTGCTTTTCCCAGCCCGAGGCCGGTGTGCCGGATCCTGAGCCGGGTGCCGGATCCCAAACTGTGTGCCGTGGGTTGGAGGAAACAAAATGGGGAATGCATCCATGGGTTTTTCCACCAGTGGAGAAATGGCGTTGCTTTTCCCACAGGTGAATTTCCGTGGCTCAAGGAGCAGCCCAGGGTGCTGGGCTGAGCGGACGCGTGTCGAGAAGCAACTGGTGGTGCTGGTGGGGGTGCTGGTGGCTGTGCTGGCGGCGTGTCTGCTGGGTCTCATCTTCCAGTATAGAGCCCGTAAGTCCTCATGCTATGTGGAGATGTCACCTGCTTGACCAGGGTGGGTTGCTGGGGGGTTCCCTGGGATGGGATGCTCACTCCCATCCCTTGCCCCAGGGTGGGATTCTTTGGTACCAGGTGGGATGTTCAGGTGTGGGGTGGGATGCTTGAGCACAAGACAGGATCCTGCATCCCTTTCTCTGGGGCAGGGTGCTTGGTTGTGGGGTGGGATGCTTGGGCATGGGACAGGATGGTCACCTGTGTCCCTCACTCCAGGCTGGGATGCTCAGGCAGCAGGAGGGATGTTCAGGCACAAGGCAGGATGGTCACCTGTGTCCCTCGCCCCAGGGCAAGATGTTTGGGCACAGGATGGGACACTCACCTTCACCGTTTGCCCCGGGGTGGGATGCTCGGGGGTGGGATGCTCGGACTGTGGGTAGGATACTTGGGCACAGGATGAGATGGTTGCCCACATCCCTGACACTGTGATGGGATGATGAGGCTGGATACTCCAGCATGGGATGGGACACTGGTCCATATCTATTGCTCTGGAGTGGGATTTAAGGTGTGGGGTGGGATGCTCCGACACCAGATGGGGTATTTGCCCACATCCTTCATTGTGGGGCAAGATGGTCCCTGGTGAAGCTCATCGGGCTGTGGTGCAGGAGCTGAACCCATCATTCCCACCCCCAGGGCCACCCGCCGTGTGCCTGTCAGAAGCCTGCATCTCCGTCACCAGCTCCATCCTCAGCTCGCTGGACCGGGCGGTGAATCCCTGTGAGGACTTTTTCAGCTATGCCTGCGGGGGCTGGATCAAAGCCAACCCCCTCCCTGATGGCCACTCACGCTGGGGCACCTTCAACAACCTCTGGGAACACAACCAGGCCATCATGAAGCATCTACTGGGTGAGTAGGTGGGAGTGGTGGGACCCCCATGGTGCTGAGGAGCCCCGTTAGGTCTGGGGGATGCTGAAATGATGCTCACGGGGAAGTGAGGTTGGATTTAAACCCCAGAGTCAAATCAATCCATGACGCACACACCATGAGAACATTGGAAGCAGATCCTGGATGTGTTTGCTCTCTTGGATGCTTCTGGGATTTTTGACCACGGTGCTGCAGCTCTTTGGTGCCGAGTAGGGGAAGGGTCCTGGTCTCGACTCCACAAACCCTGTGGTGGCATTTCTAGGAGCTCTGAAATTCAGGATTTACACCCCAGACTACATCAAGAGGCCATAACACCCCAATATCACCCCAAGGATATGGGTTTTTTTTCCTGTTGTAGCTTCCAGCCTTTGTGAGTGGCCTTTTTGAGGGGCTGGCTGCCAATCTGATCAATTTTGGGGGCCAAAACTCCCCCAGCACAGGGAGGATCCTGGGCTCAGCCTCTGCGTGTGAACACTGAAGCCGGGGTGGCTTATCCAAGCAACGGGCAGGGACGGTTTGTTCAAGCTTTGAGCAAACAACTGGCTCCTTATCAGCACTTTCCACTGCGCTGGGGCTGATTATCTGAAAAGAGAAGGTTTGGGAAAAGTGTTGTCTGTTGGGAGAAGGGGGGGATGGTGGTGCGGGAATGGTTTCATCCCCAGCTTTTCCCGCAGAAATCTGGCTCTGGTTTTACTGGGAGAAGGGACTGGGCTTCCAGCCAAGTAGTCATGGTCAGCATTTCCTTGAATTCCTCAGAGCCAAGGGACCTTTAGTTAATCAAAGCACACAGCTGGGAAGGCAAAGGTGCAAGCTATGTCATGAGGAAAATAAATAATAAAACAACAAAAAAAAACCCCTCTGGGGAAGCAGAATTTTAGAGAGGGGGAGGAAAAAAAAATAAAAGGATCGTTTTGGAGGCAAGGGAGAAAAATGGGTTTATTGTTCCTCCTTGTAGGAATAAATAATATAGAGCTGGGGAGCAGCCACACGGGGGCAAGGGCAACACAGGGGCTGGATGATGCTGGGAACATCAGAGCTGCTGGAAAAATGCTTTTTTCTTGTTGTTGTTTTTGTCTTTCTTTATCTTTCTGTTCCAAAGAGCTGGAGCAGTCGCTGCGGGTGGGAGAGGAGATGGGGACAGGAGGCCAGGAAGGGTTGGGGGGCCGTGGGATGATCTTGGGGGCACAGAGGGGACTGGTGGGGAAATCTTCGATGACTTTTTTTTTGAGTCTGGCTTTGCCCAAAATGGGGCTGAATAATTCTCCAGTGGAAGGGTGAGGGCTGTGGCATGAATCAGCAGCTCTCGTGGGGGTGATGAGACCCTCTGTGAACCCCCCCCCTCTGGATACCTCCTGCAGAAAACACCACGGCCAACGTGTCGAGCGAGGCAGAGCGCAAGGCGCAGCGTTATTACCAAGCTTGTATGAACGAGAGCAAGATCGAGGAGCTGCGTGCCACCCCGCTCATGGAGCTCATCCAAAAGGTTTGTCCCTTTCCTTGGGGAAAACCTGCTTTCCCTAAGCAAAATTTGGGGGAAAATCTCATTTATGAGCAGCTCCAGACCCCATTCCTGGTGCTTTTCAGGGAAGAGCATCCCCCAGGACAGGCAAGAGGCAGGGATTTGTAGGATTTATAGGATTTATGGACAAGTCTTGCTTCTCCTGGGGTTTTTAGCCCCACTGCAAGATGTTTTCCCCCCAGGATCACAGGGTGGTGGGGTGGGAAGGGATATCAGGATATCATCCAGTCCAACCCTCCTGCCAAAGCAGGTTCCCTACAACAGGTTCTCTACAATTGCAATTTCCTGTGCAAATTGCACAGAAAATCATCCAGGTGGTTTTGAACATCTCCAGAGATGGAGACTCCACACCCTCTCTGGGCAGCCTGTCCCAGGGCTCTGGCACCCTCACAGGATGGATATTGAGGGGATATTTAAGCAATTCCAGGTGATTGTTCCTTACCCAAAAGCCGGTTGCTGTCTGTCCCCAGCTGGGTGGCTGGAACATCACAGGTCCCTGGGCCAGTGACAACTTCAACGTGACGCTGCGAGAGGTGACAGCACATTACCGCACCTCACCCTTCTTCTCCGTCTACATCAGCGCCGACTCCAAAAACTCCAACAGCAACGTCATCCAGGTGGATCAGTCAGGGTTAGGCCTCCCGTCGCGGGATTACTACCTGAACAAGACAGAGAATGAGAAGGTAAGGTCCATCGGGGGAAATCTGGCTTTGTTGGGGAGGTGCTGTGGGTGGGTGATACCCACCACGCTGATCTCCATCCACATCCCTCCATGTAGGTGCTCACCGGGTACCTGAACTACATGGTGCAGCTGGGGATGTTCCTGGGAGGCACCGATGAGGAGTCAACGCGGCAACAGATGCAACAGATCTTGGACTTTGAGACGGCGTTGGCCAACATCACCATCCCACAGGAGAAACACCGGGATGAGGAGGTCATCTACCATAAAATGACGGCTGGAGAGCTGAAGGTAGGGATGGAGTTGGCGAGCAGCCCCACTCTGCTGTGGTTTGGGAAGCGGGGTGGACGGTTGGAGGTGATGCAGCTCCTCAGAGGAAGCCTGATGCCGGCCAACGCCGCTTGGGAAGCTCTTGTGCAATAGCTTGGCCTGTGTCCTCCTTGGGGATATCCCACCCTGACCCACTCCTCCCAGCTTCTGGACCACCCCCGGGGCTGGTGACCATCCCGCTGTGGCTCTAAGGCGCTCCTGGTGCTGCTGCAGACGTCAGCCCGGTCACCTCCCCATGTCCCCAAAGGGACCCTAATGGGTTGTGTCAACATTTTTGACACCCGCCCCACTTTCTTTTCCTCTGCGGGAGGAAATTGTTTACTCCCCTCTGACCTTTTGAGGATGCTGCTGTTATGGGAACTGATCTCTGCAAAATCAGCTGAATCCCTCCAACGTGGGCTGATGTGGTGGCTTCCAGCTTGGGAAGCAGCTGCCACCCCATTCCGATGGGTTTTTGGGTCCATAGCAGTGGCTTTTGCAGGAGCTGGCACCAGCCGTGGACTGGATGCCCTTCCTCACCACGGTCTTCTACCCTGTGGAGCTCAACGAGTCGGAGCCCGTCGTGGTCTACGCCAAGGAGTACCTGGAGCAGGTCTCTGACCTCATCCTGGCCACTGATAAATGGTGAGAGCCCCCAGCCTGTGTGGAGGGGTGCCTGGGGAAGGCAGGCATGTCCTGCTGCCTGCTCACCACCTCTCGTTGCAGTCTCCTCAACAACTACATGATCTGGAACCTGGTGAGGAAAACCAGCCCCTTCCTGGACCAGCGCTTCCAGGATGCTGAGGAAAAATTCATGGAAGTGATGTACGGGACGAAGAAGGTGAGTGGGGAGCCCCTGACACCCCCAAATCACCATTAAAATGGTGACAGGTTTTTTAAGTAAAGTCCTCATGAGGTTGCACCCAAAAAATTAGAGATGTGGAGCAAGTTTTGGGATGGCAGCTCTGGTACAAGCAGGGTGGATGTGGACCTCATCTCCCAGCAGGGCAAGAAGGTGGAGGGCTTTGGCTGTGCCACCGCTGATGACCACCTCTTGTCCCATGCAGACCTGCCTCCCACGCTGGAAGTTTTGCATCAGTGACACAGACAACAACCTGGGCTTCGCCCTGGGGGCCATGTTTGTCAAGGCCACCTTCGCCGAGGACAGCAAGCAGGTGGTACGTCCCCAAGCGAGCGGCGTGTGAGCCACCACGATGGTGGACAGTTGAGATGGACAGTTGGGGCTGGCAATGTTTCTCTGTCCACCCTTTGTCCACTGTGCATCTTCACTGGGTTTTTCACTGGCCCATGTGCCATCTTGGCATCCTGACCTCTTCCTCTCCCCACTGGTTTGAAAGGTCCTTGACCTCTCCAGGGTGGGAGGTTGGTTCTCCAGACTGATGCTGAGCTGCCTGGTTTTTTCTAGGCAGAGGAAATGATCGCGGAGATTAAAACAGCCTTTGAGGAAAGCCTGGAGACCCTGCAGTGGATGGATGAAGAGACGAGGAAATCGGCCAAAGAGAAGGTGAGGTGCTGGCAGCAGTGCCAGGGAGGAGAGACTGATGGTGGAGGCTGGTGGAGATGAGCGAGCCCGTTCTTCCATCCCTGACACCAAAAGCACTTTGGACCTTGTCATCCCCCCAGGCAGATGCCATCTACAACATGATCGGTTACCCCAAGTTCATCATGGACCCCAAAGAGCTGGATAAAGTCTTTAATGATGTGAGTTGGTCAGATATGTCCCCTGGGTCTCCTATTCCCCCTCCAGTAGCCTGTGCAGGATGTGTGTCTATCACCATGGCCTCAGGGCAGCCTTGAACCCCAAGTTCCCTTCAGAGAGGTCTCACTGATGTCCTTGGCCCTTCTCTGGGGACTTCCTGGAGAGCTGTGGGCCAGTCCTGGGGTGACTGGGGCTCTTGGGATCCCTGCCCGGGAAGAGGAGGATCCAGTTTCCGTAATGGTGATTCATTGGTCTCCTGAGACTCCACAGATGTTGGAGAGGAGGAGAAATGAGAGTGGCCATAACTCAGCTGGCTCAAGCACGACCATGGAGGGAGGAGCAGGGCTGGGCGATCACCACGTGCTGCTCACGTCTTGCTCTTTTGCAGTACGAGGCTGTGTCTGATCTCTACTTCGAGAACGTCATGCAGTTCTACAACTTCTCAGCCAGGGTCACTGCTGACCAGCTCCGGAAACCACCAAACCGGGACCAGTAAGTCCTGCATTCCGCTTCCCTGTTGCGCTCAACGCAAGTTGGATGAAGCTTTGATCAACCTGGTCTAGTGGAAGGTGTCCCTGCTGCTGGCAGGGGGGTTGGGACTGGATGAGCTTTAAGGTCCCTTCCAACCCAAACCAGTCTGGGATTCTATATCGCAATATCTGGAGAATATCGAAAACCAGAGATTTGGTGTCCACCAGACCACACTGGTTTTGGGGCTGAAGGTTTTGCACCACGATAAGCAGATGGTGTCAGAACAAATATGGGTGATGGGTTTGTGCTGCCACATTGGCCGTGTCCCTGTCCCCACAGGTGGAGCATGACGCCTCCGACAGTCAACGCGTACTACTCTCCCACCAAGAACGAGATTGTCTTCCCTGCTGGAATCCTCCAGGCTCCTTTTTACACTCGTGCTTCTCCCAAGTAAGAGGGCAGGATTCCCAAATTTCCTCCCATCCCCAAATTTGAGGCTCAATTTCATGACTGCAGGGAGGAGCAGCAGCTGCTCTCTAAACCTCAACATTGCCCTTCTGCAGGTCACTGAATTTTGGTGGGATCGGTGTGGTGGTGGGCCATGAGTTGACACATGCCTTTGATGACCAAGGTATGGCCAGGGACAGGCAAGTGGGCTGCTGGAGGGGTGACCAGTGGGGTGACAAAGGTCTCACTGTGTTTTTGGCAGGCAGGGAATATGACAAGGATGGCAACCTACGTCCCTGGTGGAAGAACTCCTCGGTGGAGGCCTTCAAGCGGCAGACAGCGTGCATGGTGGAGCAGTATGGCAACTACACCATCAACGGCGAGGCTGTCAACGGCAAGCACACCCTTGGGGAGAACATCGCTGACAACGGTGGCCTCAAGGCTGCCTACCGGGTAGGACCACAGGGCTGGGGAGATGCGGTGGTCGGCATAGCGTGGTGGGATTGGTGTTGTCCCCTGAGCCTGCTGTGCTCCCTGGTCTACAGGCATATCAAAACTGGCTGAAAAAGAATGGGGATGAGGAAACCCTGCCAACCCTCGGCCTCACCAACCACCAGCTCTTCTTTGTTGGCTTTGCCCAGGTAGGTCTCTTGGTGGTGGGCAGTCAGGGTGGACACACAGGTTTTTGAGGGGTGGAGGTGTGCCCAGGTGGTGTTGGGAGGGTGTGATGGCCAAACTAAAGTCTCCAGAGATGCTGTGTGGTGGATGAAGAACTATATCAGGGTGGCACTGGTTGAAAAGTGAGACAAAGCTGGAGCTCGAGCTGTTTTGGTGGCCATCACGCAAGTGGGGAGGTCCGATTTGGCACTGAGCAGGGCCCTACGGTTGCCAACAGCATCACTCGTGCCTCTCACCTTGTGCTTGCAGGTGTGGTGTTCGGTTCGCACGCCGGAGAGCTCACACGAGGGGCTCATCACCGACCCCCACAGCCCCTCGCGCTTCCGTGTTATCGGCACCGTCTCCAACTCCTGGGAGTTCGCGGAGCATTTCGGCTGCCCCGTCGGTTCCCCCATGAACCCCCCCAAGAAATGCGAAGTCTGGTGATGGGCGAGCACTCGAGGGAACCAGCTGCTGGTTGTTTTGTCCTCTGCCGACGGCTGAATTTTCCCCAGTTCTTTTGAGAGGCTCAAACCACTTCTCCATGCACCGAACTGCCCAGCTCTCAGCCGGAGCAGCTCCCCGCGTCCCCGGTATCATCCGAGGTTCGATCCACTGTGAAAACTCCTCATCCTCTCACTCGTTTGTGAAATGACTTCAATTTGGGGGGTTTTTCTTTCCCATCATGACCGGGCTGTGTGTTGAGATGCACGTGGCCGTATTTACACACCCAGCACTTCAGCCTGACCCACCGCTCCGGCAAAATGCCTCTTTGGTTTTTTTTTGGAGGTGATAAAGGGAATACCGCGACGCCGGCGGGTTTGGCTGCGTGTCTAAATACATCCGACGTACCTTCCTCTCTCCAAAGATGCGCACATGAGGATGGAAAATATTTTAATATTTCTTTTTGGGGTGGGGGAAATATATATTTTTTTCATACGTTGTGGAATACACTGGAAAAATTCAGGGAAAATGCATTTTAAAGCCTTTTTTTAAGTAAAAGATTAGTATATTTATTAATTGTTTTTTTACTCAGTGCATCTGTAGGTGCAGCAGTCTGTGGTGACAGTCCCTCGGTTGAGGAAGCCGGATGGGGCTACCTGGGCTGTGGATACAACTAGCCAGCCCCAGATTCTGGGTTTCTCCAGGAGGGATTGTCCTTGGAAGATGCTGATGGGGAAATTAGGGACAGGGCTGGAGGATATTGCGGGTTGTGGAAAGGCTCTGCCAGGATGCTGCAGCTCCTGGGATTGGCTTTAATTTTGGAGCTCAAAGGGAAAAGTTGATGTGCCAAAGATGCCACCGAGGTGGTGACAATGTGGGTGAAACGAGCTCAGCTGTGATTTCCCAACCCAAAAGCTTCTCCAGACCAGCACAGGCAGTTCCTGCCGCTGCTTTGCTCGCCGTCGTGCCTGGCTTCTACGTACGCCTGGGAAACTGCAAGCCCCAAAATCACCCCACAGCCCCCCAAACCTCCATCCAACCTGGGCTGGTTTGGCACTGGTGTGAGATCGGGCCAGGACAGGGGTCAGGGGCTTTCTGAAGGGTTTTGTTGGGTTGGGTTTTTTTTAATATTCCTTTTGTGGTTTTGAGAGGAAACCACTGACAGTAGCTCAGGCGCTGAGTGTCGTCCTGCGGGGCATCTTCTTGCTCTAAACAGAAAGCAAAGACATAGAGGGATTTTTAATATTTATATGTAAAAGGAGGGATGGGGGAGGGATTTCTTTTTTTGTAACTATTTTTTCACCCTACATGTGGGACTTATCTTAATTGAAATAATAAATACTTTTTACTGGGTCTAGAGCTGCTCATGACTTGTTTTTTCTGATAGCAGGAGAGTCTTGCATCCCTTTATCTGCACTTTTCTCCCCGTCCACACCGATGAGACCATCCCATGCTGACAAAACCGAGCCGAGGGGGCTTTTCCCAGCCTGTGCCTGGCATCTGCCACCTCTCTCAGACACTAAAACCAGGCTTTTGTGCCCAAAAACCTCACTCTTGCTGCGGGTGGTTGTTTGCTCTCCACCTCCATGGCACGGCCCCACACATCTCCCCAGCAGGGAGGTCTTTCCCAGATGCTTTTCCTTCCTCCCGGGTGAGTTTTTGGCTGGCTGGGTTGTGCTGGGATCCAGCAGCACGGGCCCAGCACAGGTTTGCTCTCCAAACGGCCTTATTTATAGCTCAGTGATGCCGGCTGGATGCTGCCAGCTCAGGAACGTGGGCCAATGTTCACTCCCAGACGGATGCTCTGTGGCTTTGTCAGATTTGCCCCCCCAAAAAAATGCAAGGCAGGACCTGGACCACAAACTCTCCACCACCTCTCACCCCAGCACCTGGGAGGGCTGATGGTTATAAAACAAGTGATGTGCTGGGTGTTTATTTGCTATTTAACTCCAGCTCGTTAGAGGGGGCTGGATTTGGGCAGCAGCCTCCTGGTTTTGCCCCATTGGGAGTGAGTTTTTGGAAATACAAAGTGTTTTCAGTGCTGGGATGGGCAGAAGTGAGTCAGTGACGTGCTGGGGATGTGAATGTGGCAGAAATAAAACAGTAAAATTTCCTTCTTGCTGTTTTTTACTGTGTTTTCTCTCCCAGGCTGAATCGAAACGCTTTCTGCTCGCATGACTTGACGTGAGGCCCCTCTGTTTCCTGCAGAGCTGGAAGATCAGTTGTGGATGTTTTTTCTCCCTGGGATCTGGCTGGAAATGGTGGCACAAACCCGCAGAGGGCGGTGGAGCCGAGAAAATCTCTGCCTGCGTTCTCTGCTCCTGGGTTGGCAAGAGTTAGCCGCGCTACCGGCGCGGTGTCCTGGCCTGGATCTGGCCTCGTGTGTTTAAAATGCAATGAAATAACTGTGTTCCTGGGAAAAGAGAGGAGCAGGGTGGGTGGAAGGCAAAGAGGAATTAAGCAAGGAGAGCAAAGCTGGGGTGAAAGGGGTGTTTTCCCAGTGGTAAGAAGCAGGGAGGCGAGCAAGCCCATGGTGTGGAGAGGTAAGATGCTGTTTGAGGAGGTTTAACCTTCTGAAAAGGAAATATTTTGCCTCTCCAAAGGTTTAGTCACAGGGAGAGATCAGGCAAGTGGTGTCTTGGCCACCGCAGAGGGGACAACCCCAGCGCGGGAAGGAGTTCAAGGGCGAGCATCAGCTTGTTTCATGGCAGGGGGGACGCCACGGTCAAGGCTCCCCGTGCCGGGCTTGGAGCCGGCGGTGGATGTTTCCCTGTCTGGGAAGCTGCCGGGTGTAGGCAGAGCAGGCAGGAGGTGAATCATCCCACTCGCGTGCCAGTGTCTGGCGTGGGCTTGCCTGATCCTGGGTGGTATTTGCTTTACTTTTCACTCAGCCATACCCTGGAGGGCTGAGACGCTTGCCCAGGGCTGAGCCCGGGCAGGAGGAGGGATGGGGAAAGCTCCAAGTAAGGCTGGTTTGGGTTTTTGTTGGGTTTTTTTTTTTCCTTCCATGCTTTTTAAATTTTTTTAATTTTTTTTTTTTCCCTGAAGGATGTTGGAAGGGGATCAGTGGGGGAAAAGCAGGAGAAGTCCAAAGAAGGAGGCACTGCTGTGCTGTGCTAGGTGAAAGCGGGTGCCTGGAGCATTTCTGGAGCCTCAAAATGAGCTGGAAATGGTAGTTTTTCCCCAGGTTTGGTGGGACCAAGCCAGCCTTCCAGGTGCGAGAGGCTGAACTGAGCAAGTTTGGGTTGGCCATGAAGAAAAGGTTCTTGAGGCAGAGGGTGGTGGAGCACTGGAACAGGCTCCCCAGGGAGGTGCTGATGGCACCAAGCCTGACAAGATTCCAGCAGCATTTGGCCAAGGCCCTCAGGGCCATGGTGTGAATGTTGGGATTGTCCTGTGCAGGGACAGGAGTTGGGCTGAATGATCCTTGGGGGTCCTTCCAACTCACAACCTTCGATGATTCAATCACCTGAACTGCTCATCTCCTTCCCTGTGTTCTCCCTCCAAGCAAGATCCAACCCCCAACACATCATGACAGCGCTGGGGTCACCTACTGGGACCATCAGATTTTAGGGTAGTGAACAGGCCAAAAACTTCCTCAAACAATTCCTGCAGGAAAACAGCCCTTTTCCAATGATCCTTTACTCTCTTTTCCTAAATTCACCAACAGCTCTGGTGTTCCTACTACAACCTTCACTGGTTGTGAGCCAGGGTCAACCCACCACACTCTGCTGTGCCAGGTAGGTGAGAGACTGGTGGGACTGGAAAAAGGGTCGATGATGCTGTGAAACAAAAGCTCAGCACTGTAAATTCAAGCTGCTCGTGGTGACACATCAGTTCCCAGGTGTTAATAAAGCTAGAAGGAAAAAATAGGAGGAAAAATGAGATGGAGAGGAACTAGAGGTGGTAGGAAGGGTGTGAATCCAGCTGGCATTGGCTCAGGCTCACCAAATCATTGTATGTGGAGTAGCACAGAAGAGAGACCTGTCCGCTTGTTCCTCTTCAGAAGAAAAGAAAAATAAATAAAATTAAATGGTAAAAAGGTGGCCAGGGGGAGATGTAAACTCTGGAGGAGCTTTAAGGCAGAGCCAGGAGCCTGACTCCTTCACATGGCTAACACGCTTTGGGAGCTTCAGCGGAGAATATGGTGAGAATGCTGGGTTTTTTTCCTTTCTAAATGGGCAAAAAGAAGTGATCCTGGAGCTCGGAGGCTCTGGCGCAGCTGTGTTTACAGGCAGCTATTTCTGTAGAACAGAGGGAGCCATAGATCTCAGTTTGCTCTCGGTACGCATTTCCTTCCTCATGAAGGGGTGTACCAGAGAACTGCCACGCCTGGGAGGTGGGTGATGGAATGACCCCAGACCACACAGTTTTACTTGCACCCTCCAAATTAGTCTTTACGAGGGGGATCCGTCTTCCCAGCAGGCTGTGGACAGAGGAGATGTGCTGTGGGATGGCTGGAGGTCTATGAGTCCTTGGGCAAACCCCCTACCATGATAAAATTCTTTCTTTGTTCTCCCATTTTTGGGGAGTACCTGGCCTTTTTTTGAGGTCATTCTCATTTCTCTCGTTTTCTTTTGTTTTCCTGGTGGGGAATCAGCAGTTGATCTGGCAGGTGGAAAACTGGATCAGAAAAAAACCACCCAAAGCCCCCTCTAAATATTTATTCCTGGCTGCTGATGGAAATAGTCCTCCCTTAGGACTTCTTTACAGGCTGGCAAGGGGTGGTTGGGTTTTCTTGGGGTTTTTTTTCCTCCAAAAATCTCCTTGTTTTCCATTTCACCCCATTTCCCACAAGCAGTTTGAGGTAGATGTGAGTTCACTTAAGTTTCCCTTACCCCAGTGAAGAACAAAAAGCACAGAAAGAGAAACTAAATAGCATCCTAGTCATCTTCCCTCTGTCACCAGCTCCACTAATAAGTTCTGGCACTACACGTGCTGCTCGTTTGGTGTGGCTGTGCCCTGTAGATAGCACCTTAGTAAGGAAGAAATTATTCCAGTTGCACAGCTACTCTTACTGGAGGCCACTTAAGTGATGTGGTAACTCACAGGAGCTTTTCTTCTGAGATCATACCTTGGAGGATGGCGAGCCTCGGGGTATGTTGCAGTCCTTGTGTGTCGGCGTGGGTGGGTGTTGTGTCCTAAACATGACCTGCACAAACACAATTGTTTAATAATTCCCAGTCTGACTCAAAAGGGAAAATGTACTCAAGACCCTTCTTCTATTTTTTTGGCTGCTGGGGGCTGTGTTTTGCTCCAGTGAACAACACT